GATTCCTTTTATCTATTCCAAATTTATCTTTCTATAGCCAAAATGATGAGACTGCAGGATACAATCACGAATTTGAATTATCATGCTCCTTTTAATTATATTAATCCAGCTGCTAATAAATATTATAAATATTATTGTCATCATCATTAATATTATGCCAGGATCCTATAAAACTTTAACCTTAACCACTGTCTTTGACTTTCTCTCTGCATCTTATATAGTCTCCAAATTTCTCTAGCCTGTACAGAAGTCTCTCTGCTCTAAACATCTACTATGTTTATGGTATCACTCTCCTGCTACAGAAATTACCAGGAGCCTTAGTAGCCAACTCAGTGTCCAAAGTCCTCTGCCTGACCTTCAGAGCTCATAAACTGTCTCTAATGCCTAATTCAGTCTTTGTTTGTTTTACTTCTCAGAATGGAGCTGCTGGTCTAGATATGCATGTCGCCGTGTCTCCCAGAAACTATTATTACAACCTCAATGCCTGCCTGCTATATAGAAAAGACTCCATAAATGATTTTTATAAAGTCTTCTCCAACTATTCCAATCTTTTTTTCCTTCTTTAAATTCTCATTACCATAATAATCAGTACGGTACCACTTGGGATATATTCACTCTAATTGATTCACTATTTTAGGTACTTCATTTTCATAAACAGACTTAAGTTCCCAGGGACCAGAGACCATGCCTTATATCTTCTCTGTGTTTTCAAAAAGGCCTGGCATGGGTGTAGCTGTTCTATAAACAAATGTTAATTAATATTTCACTTATGAGTTTAATTTATTGTCACCTAATCTTCCAGTTATGTATTTTTCACACATGTCTCCTGTAAAACTACCATATAGGTCTTTATATATAATACATAGTTTCATAAAAATTAATTATAAAAAATCATAAATTCATGTTTGAAGGCAGTCCCATCTTCCCAAGATTTGTTTCTTTTTTTTGTTTTTGCATATACAAAATATATTAATCAGAGATATTAACTGATCTGTCAAATGCAAAGTTATAAAGCTAGCTGGTGGCCCCACTAAACCAAATGAAAAGTGCTAGTGTTAAATAAGATGAAGAATTGGGGATTAAACACGGTAACACAGTCTGTTAAGACAGGTGTATATATTTTTCCAATGTCTAAAAAAGAAAATGTAATACTACCATTTACTTTTTATTATAAGGAAAAAGAAGTCTTGCCTTGACAGAGTTAGAAGTACTTTAGCAGAAATGAATTCATTTAATTTCACTGACTTCCTGGGAAGAAATTTGGAGAACATATTAACTATATGTTATAAATAAAAATATTGTCCAGAGAGTTGAACTGACAGGGTTGTTCACCCACATTGGTGGTAAAAACTCTAATCCCCTCATGGGGAAGCCACATCTGTCCATGGGACAACATAATGGGTTTATAAATATGGTCTGATATAAAATCATTTTTAGATTAAAAAAGTCACATTAACTTCTTCCAAAAGAGCTATCTACTAAAACTGTTCAGGAAAACAGACATACAAGAATGAGAGGAAAAGGCAAAGAAAAAAAATTGGACAGTCATGTTCAAATTATCTGATTTGTTTGAACCATTTGACTATGTAGGGCACCAGAGGGTAAAAGATAAAATGATTCTTTTCTCATCTTTATCTAATCTGAAATAGTAACTATTTTTTTCTCCCAGGATAAATTTTAAATTACTGTAGAGAGAAGGGAAATATAAAAGATGAGAACTACCGCTGAAATTCCCACACGATCCCCAGGGAGAAGTCCAAGTAACCAGCAAACCTCTCCTCAGAGAAGTGTTTAACTGTTATGTGGTTAATCCGTTTGGGATACCCTGTTCTAAACCAAGAGACAAAAGAGATTTGTTATAAAGTCTTCTACTTCAACTCCCAAGAAGACATCAGTGGATTAGGTGACCAAAGAGACTACTTGGAAACTTTCATGCTTGTGGTGTTTCTGAGTCATGTCATTAGTCAGGGATAAAGCTGATTTTTCAATGATGTAGCTCATGCTTTAGCAATGTTTTGCTCTAGACAGATAGACCATATGGAAACTATGAACTGGCTTTGTATATAGGACTATGATGAGCCAATGCAACATTTTAACATTTTCTCTTTCTATTCAAGTGGTCTAGTGAAAAATACATTATCCTAAGACATGGTATATTGTGTGTCTTTGTTTCAGTTCAAAAATAGTTTTAATACAGGGGATTTTTTTAAAATGCACTTTTGTTTAACAAAAAAGACTTGAATTATTTTAGATGGTTAAATATATTCCAATTTTCCCTTTAAGGTACTGGCATCGATAAAGACATGGTCCAAAAAGAGAGTTATCAAAATCATAGATGTCAAAGATTTTCTTTCCAACAAGATCCAGTAATAAGCTGTAACATTTTTCTGAAAGATTCTAATTACCAAAAACTAAGAATAAAATAAAATAAAATTATGATGTCAATTTTCTCAGAACTGGAAGACAAGCACAACCCATTAGACAATGAGCTTGGGGGATACAAAGCGTTCATTCACAGTTTGATGACTTAATAATATTAGACGAATAACAAACATTTCACTACAAGATTAAATATATATATATACATATATATATTTCTGGATTGGGCTTGAAATTTAATGAAAAACTGTGTGGGTTAAAAAAAATTGCAGTTGTTGGCACAACACCAAAATGGAAAAAATGAACAGCACTTATGCAATTACATGTTTTGTATAGAACGTGGGAGGGCTACAGAATAGCTGAAATTAATATGTGGAAAATAACTGCGCTGGTTCCTTAGAGGTATTTGGAAACTATCATATATACTCACTCAGCTTATAAATCTTTGCAAAGGCTATGATGAAAAATGGTCATGTTTCATTATTATAATTAAAATATAGTGGTCTCAGATGCTTTTCTAAAGAAGTAAAAATATGAGACGTAGATAATATGGGTACAATTGTTTAAAAAGGAGAAGAATTTAAGGAACTATAATTTTAATGTTTTTCAAGGAGATTTATTAAAACATAATTAGATTGTATGCCCGAGATTAGGACAGAATAACAAGATTTCACCATATAATAAATGAACCTCATATTTTACAGATTATAATTCTTAGCTTCTGGTATTTTCTATTTCGATCTGAGAGAATCTGACAGAAAACTATAAAAGTTGTTCATCCCAGTTCCCTGTGATAAATATGGGAGCACCATGTTTGTGATTTATTCATAGCAAATTGTTAGAACCAAAGACTAAAACCAACCAGTTTTAATGCTTTGCTTGAGGTATATAGATCTGAATATACTGGTGATCTAAAAGTGAGTCGCTAAGATTAATTTAAAAACAATGAACATGAATAATCATGTGAAATAATTTATATCTGAAGAAATAATTTTTTTCTACATGTTATTTTATTTTTATCTTGTTTTAAAATTTTAAAAAGACTTTTACATATTAATTTTATCTTGGCTTATAACTATTACCTATCTCTAGCAAACAGATGTTTAGTAATTGAATATCTCTTGTGATTCCTAGTCTTTTATTCACTCTAACAGACTATATTTACTTTTATAAGTTGTCTGATTGATAAAATCAGGTGTACAACCACCAAAACTTGTCTTCTCTTGGAACTGCTTCTACTCTTTTAAAAGAAGAGTTTCTGAGGGCAAAAAAGTTCTGGGAGATACTTGTTCTCAGTCATGAGGTCTCATGAGACACTCTTCAGATGGCCCACATCTACAACACCACAAGGAGCAGAAAAATATTTCTTACAAAATGACTTTTTTGTTTGGTGTTATGATTTTAAAACATGTGTCTTTCAAGACGTACTTTATTACTTAAAAGCAATGAAGGCTTTCTTAGAACTGGCACATAAATATTTGTATACTATCTACATGATGTAAAATGGAAATGGCCTTCTTTTTTATTTCTTGTGCCTTTTTTTTTCATCTTACTAATTGTTCTTTCTATGAGTTCAACTCTCTGACAAACTTGCTCTTCTTTGTCAACTTTTAAGTCACAAGCTAATATTCTCTAGCAGAAGACAATTTTTATGATGGCATGCTTTTTTCTCATTTAGGACAAGCATTGCTACCCCATAACAGCTATTGGTCAACTGGAAAATACATGTATTTTTCATCATTTCTGCAAGACATTAAACATCTTTTACCACATCAAATCATATGAGCTCCTATACCACACGTAGCCTAAAAATCAAGAGTAGAATTAAAATGCATGGCACAATAAACACGTGCTTTTTAATGAGACCTACTAATTTTAACTACAAGGTTTAAATATTTAATGTACTGATAACATCATTGCTTTATTTTGCCTATTGAGAGAGAATAACTGATACCTCTTCGTGGTGCATTAACTCCTCCAAGTGATAGGAAAGAGCATCATTCTAGATATATCTATAAATAACTATGGTGCATGAAAGAACATTCTGCCTTCTACATACAGTGGTGCTACACACACTAAATTCATTTCCAAACACATGCAATTTGCTTTTTTTTTTCACTAGGAAGATCAACCTAAATTTCATTTTTAAAAATATTCATGAAATGCTATGCTAATATCAAGTGTAACAGCTGTGTCAGTAAAGCATCTTCTGCCCTTCTGTTTCTTTTAGTTGTCCTATTCGTTTTGCAGGTGATCACTGGGGTAAAAAGGAACATTATCATACAGTTTAATTCACACATTGGATGGAGAAGTAGGTATCAAAAGTTACAGGCCTCTGTGATATTTGCACATCTCTTCTAGGTAACAATGAGGAAAACCACAAGGAAAGCAACTTTATAAATATGAAGGCAAAAAAAAAAAAAAGCAAAAAAAAAAATTCTGGATATAACAGAAGAGATGACAAATGGTGTGAACTTTTCAAAACACTCTACAAATAAAACAGCATTATTCAACAGAACGCAACAAAATTGGAAAAAGAAGCAACAATACATCATGAGACATGGAATCATCTGAAAGAAGCAGTTAAGGACATAAGCCACACAGAGCATTTCTTTTCTTACTTGCACAAGTATCTTGAGGGGTTCGAAAGGTCTTTCACCATGAAGCACTCGCCTCCATTCACACAGAAAGTTTTCTCCTTCTCTGCACATTTTACAAGATGGCTTGTCCCGGTTGTAGATGTAGATGTAGCTGGATGAAAGATAAAAAGGGAGAAAGGTTTAGATCTATCTTTCCTCCTCGTAAGCAGCCTTTAATCTCAAATTCTCTTAAAAGGAAGAGTTCATTTAACATACGGTGGAATCTACTAAACTTTCAGGTTTAATAAACAACAGCAAAGAAGTTAAATGCTTTCTGGGTGTAATTAAATAGAATAAAATTATAAAAGGGTAATTATCATTAATTAATTTAAAAATAATTAAAGAGAAAATCTATTATCATTAAATAAAATACATTTTCCAGTAAGGCTCAAAGATTATGATATAGAGTCATGTCAGTGCAACTCAATTTAGATATCAAATTTTTAACAGCCAGTAATTGATAAAATTATTTATTTTGGAAATTACATTTTATGTGTATATTGACTATACTTTCTAGACATAATATGCAGCAAAGAAGGAAAAAGGTGTCATATTTGTTCCTAATGAAAAATTATATATTGCTAATTGAATATATATTATCATACAGATCAGGTGCCATTCTTTTTAAAATTCTACTCTAATTGCTACGCCGAAGAACATTGTTGAAATGTCCAATTGCCATTATACTTTTGAAGAAATGGAAAGATAGTTTAAAATTGCAGAAAATGTAGAATAAAGCATTACGAAATTTATCCATTTTGAATTAGGAGTAAAACAAGTCTTAATTTTGGTTTGTAACACCTTTATGTAACAAGCTTGATATTCACTTATGAAACTTCACAGTTATCTGAAAGTGAAGCTGAAAATGATGCCTCCACCATTAGGTGCATGGATTAAATGAATCCAAAGCTCTCAGTCCTGAGACTATAAGGGCATTAAGTATCAGAACTCCTCCTCACTTACATCACTGGGAATACTGCAGGCAGTGCTCAGACTCAGCCCAAAGCAGTTTGATTTAAATAATGTTATCACAGATATTATCAGGACAGAAAAAGCAAAACCAATATGGCAAGCGAATGATGATTCTATTTACTCTCTAATAAAAAAAAATCCATCTTTACACCAGATTCTTTCCTTGTCTATTGACTCATGCTTTGTGATTTTTAATCCCTGTCTTCCTTATTAATTTCTATTTTACCGTTTGCATATGAGATTCAGGTGCCCTTGTTTACTTTCATTTCATATGTCCTGTGTTACCTTTCTATTTTCCTTTGCCTTTTTCATTTCCTCCACGTGAACATTTTGCTTTGACTTTTAAGCAAATTTTTCTTCTAATTCTGCTTGATTTTTCCTCTACCTGATAGAAATACTGAACAACCGATCATTCAGTTTCTGAATCACTCGAAACCTTTCCTGCCTCTCACTGCCTGTTTTAAAATTAGGCATGTTTTTAGACCATTTCACTGTTCTCAGCATGGCTTTTAGGAGTAACAGTAAAAGACAGTCAAAATGACTTGTACTTTGGAGATATATCTGGCTCAAATCCCATCTCCTACTAGTTTTGTGTCCTTGAGCAAGTCATTTAACCACCCAGATGCTCAATTTTCCCACTTAGAAAACAGAGGTAATGGCAGTCTTAGAGGATTTTTGTGGAGATTATAAATAATCTAGGTAAAGGAATTGGCACAAAACTGCCACTCGATGAATAATAGAAGGTATTATGACTGAGTAATAAGGGACCGTATTCATGAATTAAATAAAAAGCTTGACAATGGAAATCTGGGGATTTCAAAGATGCATGCTATTCTTGAATCATTACTATAGATAATTAAGGAATGGTTCAATTTTTTTATTATTCCAACAAAAAGTCCATTTCCAATGTATTTCAAGGTATCCTTCACAAACGAACAAAAGGTACCAGGGAGAGTGAGGAGAGAGGTGATTTTACCCTCCATTATTCGCTATATTTTACCATCTTTATCAGGAAGAGAGGAATATAATTAGCAATATTTGGTCTGTAAAACTATAGAGCAGACAATATTTCTATGTATCACATAACTCATAATTTAACATAATATTATATTTTCATGTGAAAAACTATTTGGGTGCTATTTGTTAATAGTTTCATCTATGGCAATTGCTTTTAAAAAATATTAGGATGAAGTTTGCCTTAAATATGAAAGGTTTTGTGCTTAAGGCTTTCAACTGTTGACAGGATTCTATAGGATGACAAATTGGGCAGGGTATCCTTGCTGTCCCAGGTGACAGTGCCAAATGGACCACCTGCAGTGTGCTGTCACCACTCATTCCTGCAGAGGAACTCAGCCTCAAGCAGACCCCAGTGGTCTCTGAATCTCTGACAGGTTGCTAAGGATTGCCCCTCAGCAAACACTGCACCAGGCTCTTTCAGAACAAATCCTGAGGTTTTTGCTAAAAACATCAAAACTGCCATCCCCTCAAAAGCAGACATTCCATCGAAACTGTAAACTAATAATAAAGATTAGCAGTGATATAAGCAGGAGACAGATGCGCCATACTTCTTGCGCTTTCTGATCGTGTGTTATCAAATAAGTTAGATTAATAAACGTGTGTTAAAACTAGAAATAATTTCCCTTTTTTAGGCTTTTAAAAACATTTTCCCCTGAAATGATTATTCTTTTAATGCTATCCTGCAACTTCAAGTTATGACACAGTCATTTGAAAAATTCCTTGATTATTACTTGAAACTAGCAATGGGCTATTGGATAGGAAAATCATTCTTGGAGACAATGAAGTAGCAACTATCTCATATGGTCATGGGCTATCGTACTTAGCACTGATATCCTTTAGCAGCAGCACGAACAAAAATGATCGTGGAATTGTAAAGCAGCAATGAACTCCCAGGTGATGCAAACTGTGAACGGACTGGGTACAGCTGCTCTGAACCAACAGCCAAACACAGGAATAAGTTGTAACTGTCAGAAGAACCTGGGATGGAGATAGTGATACGTGAACCCTTCAGATTTTTGCCAGGTTTCCTTTTATTCTCTTTACTTGAACACAGTGCACAGTCAGTTCTAAGCAGATCTACCAGTTTTGCAGTGATATCTTTTCTCTTTGGTTTATACTTGCTGTATTGCTAAGGCAGTGTCCATTTGGTAATTCTGCCACAAATTAATGAAACAGACAAAGCAGCTTCTTGAACCAAACTATGGAAGCAACATTCTTTCTGGGAGAGCTGAGAGTTTATTAGAGGTGAAGCTAAAGGTTTTCATATAGAATGCATTTCAATATATAAAAGATGACCCTCATAGTTGTTTCTGGAAGTAAATGAAGTAGATCTCACTCATTCAGTACTTAATAAACCATTCGCGACTAGTTTGTCATAATTTGGGAGTTTGTCGTCTTGTAGTAAGTGCTAAATGAACAGAAATTAGGAACACTATGACATAGAGCTCCATTTTATGTTTGCCACTTATATGAACACTTTATTCCAAACATCCATTCATTGGAATGTTAGCAAGTACAATATTATAAGGAAGAAAGTATACATAAAGTAGTAATTTGTTACCAGAGAATGTACTTTGGAGTGTTTTACTCTTGACTTGGTCTCTCTTGGAAATATAGGTCAGGACTAAGGCTTTGGAGACTAAAACCGCCATTTCTGGACCCCCAAAATCCTGCACCACACAATAATGCTCCTTCTTTTTTTCTAGTCTGTCTGCCTGCTTTCCTCCCTCCCTCTCTTCCTTCCTTCCTTCCTTCCTTCCTTTCCTTCCTTCCTTCCTTCCTTTTTTCCAAATTGTTTAATGATACCTATTATGTGCAAGGCATAATGATAACAACTAGTGTTACTGAGTTTAAAAATTTTAAGACTGTGAACAAATCTCCCTAAAAGGGAGAAGAACTTTAGAGATAAACTGTAGTGAAATGAACATTGTGGTTAGCTAGGAAGAATCAGGACTAAGGCTCATTTTTGCCAATTACTAGCTGTGTGTCTCTTGTCCAGCTAACTTGTCTCAGTAAATTCAGCTGTAAAAATGAGATATCACAGGATTGTTGGGAAGTGTGATAAAATACTTTGTCAGCTGCAACACTGCACACAAATATATGATACTGTTACTATCACTAATGGTATTAATATGAAAGAAGAGAAGTAAAAAATTTTCTGTGCAGGATAGGGAATTCTATATAATCAACCTTCAAATGTTGTTTCTTAGCAAATTATTATTCTACGAAATATGAAAAAAGATGGTCTAATATGAAAGGGTAACCACTGCATGATTGTAAAGATTAAGTAAATATCAACAATCTACTCTATTTTAACTTTATCACAACCACTCGTCAATAATTTATAACCATTAAAATTGCCCATAAAATCAACTGAAGAACAATTCCAGTTAAAAGAAAAAAAAACCTAACATTTTAAATGTGTAGTTATTTCCAACTTTCAAAATCCACACAATTCTTTAATACTACCGACCAAACTAACAAGTTCACTTACAATATTGTTTGTCATTTTAAACAGTTTAAAAACTATAAAATATTTGAAAATAGTGTGACATCCATTGTACATGAGACACAGTATAAACGGTTTATAATTTAACCTTTTGAAAATTGCATATTATTGCACACTTTTAAAAATACATGGAATACAAACTTAAGGAGTAATTAATTGTTCTCCATTCTATTACTAAATATTTTCCTATGAAATCACACAATATTTCCTGTAGAATGCCAGGCTTTTTCTGCTCGGGTCAGGCTAAAAAGAAAATAATGATAGAAAGGATGGCTTACTTTCTTGCTTGTTTCAAGTGGTGTTTTTCTTATCAGTGAAGTAGACAGAAACAACAGACCAGAGCCATTACACAAATGCAAATTGCTGATAAGAAGTCACTCTATTCTTCTTTGACAATTAGCAGGAATTAACATGAGCGTACAGTGTTTACCCCAAGGAGCAATCATTAGATCCTGTCTTCTCTAAGTGAATGAGTCTTTACTAGCAGTTTTTAAGATAATTCTTAATAATTTACTTGCAAAAAATTAAATAACTATATAGTTTTCTCAATGAAACAAACAAATTTAAACAATTTTTTATATTCCAATATGAAACTGTCAACTGCTACAACATTA